GAACATACTATGAAAACAAGTCATAGAAAATTAATAGGTTTTTTGAGACTGAAACATGAGTTGACAGTTTTAAAATGATCATATTGTATGAGACAATATGAATTCAAGGCAGGTTCATAAAAAATCATGAAAACTGATTCACTAAAATGACCAGTGAGAACTCGCCTTAAAGTGAACCATCACCTCCTTAAAGTCGTGGTGCATCAAAGTTTCATTTTTTAAATAGAATCCCCTGTATATTATTACATACATATTTCAATTCTTCCTTCAATTCTAAGCAAAAATCGAAATACACACAATGTACTTCAAACCAACCATTTTATTATTGCATATTTCAATTCTTCCTTCAATTTTAAGCAATAATCGTATTACACAATGTACATAAATTGAAGAATTGGAATGTTAAACGAAAATTTGGAATTTCCTGACTTGATATACTCTCATTTTATCAGGGTTGGCATGATTTAAATCAAGTGATTTTTTTAATTTTAATCATGTGATTTAAATAAAAAAAAATATTTTTATTGAAACTTTATAATAAAAAAAGTAACTGTAAAAGTTATAAAAATGTGTCCTAGAAAACAAAAAAAAATTGTAACAGATAACAAATAATAAATCGAAAAATAATTGTAAATGTTATAAAACTATATAAAAATATCTATTCATCAATAATTTAAATGCTGGATCGATCTTTGAAGTAATTTCGTGTGAATCCATTAGGCCGCTAAACGCAGGGATTTATTTTAAAATTTATGTATAAGTGACAAAAATTCACTGTTTGAATACATATTATCATTCACAAAGTCTAGAGCAGAACTAGGTTCTTCTGATATAGAGACTATAATATCTTCATTCCCGAGAATCTATAATAGTTGTCAGAAAATGTGTTATGTGTGAATATTTTTTTTGAAACAGTTGTATGCTTGCAAATTCCTACCGACATTTTGATCTCCAGTTCTCTTTATACTTTCTCATCTTTACATTTTGACATAAGATCATACATACTAATTTCATTCTTGACTTAAGGCTATTTCCGAACAATAGTGTATTGTTTTATTAGGAGTAAAAATTATACTTTTTTTGACGATGTTGTACCTTTGAAGGACCATCGTAAAGCTATTCCGACGTTACAGGGAGGCACAAAAGGTACATTTTTACTCCTGATAGAATATACTATTTCTTTTAAAATATTACAAATAATTTTTTAATCAATAATATGAACAGTGATCGAGCAACAATTGTACACTCGTTGAATTTGACACTTAATATCAGTTTAATAATATATTTTTGTACTTTTGTGCTTAGGCGTAACAGACTTTACTTTTATGCCTAGGCTTTAAAATGACAAAAGTTAATATTTTTGAGATGTTTGAAAAAAAATCCTTTTGATCTGAAGCGAGCGACTTTTTTGCGGAATATATTGATGACCGATGTGGAAAAATGATAACGCGCCGTAGAATTGTTAATGTTATCGGTATCGGGCAGAGTTATAAAGATTTAGCCATTTAGGATAGGACTTTAAATGGAAATAAATCCTAATCATTTGGAAATTCGATTTAAATGTTGTTTTGAATTAAAATAAAAAAAAATCTGATTTAAATCAAAAAAATCTGATTTAAATAAAAAAAAGCCGATTTTTTTGATTTAAAAAAAAATGATTTTTTCCAACCCTGCATTTTATACATCTATAAATGCTAACTTGAGAACTAATGTCAAATTTTATTAAGTCTGTGATTAAGTATCACAGTTTCGGCAGAATAGCATCGTTAAATGAAACTGTACATATCGAAATTAATTAAATCAAATTGTTTAAGTGATATTTTCAATATTGTGGTGTATTAAAAATATCATTTTTAACGCACTTGTAGAAAAATATATACTTAAATAAATAAAAATATTTTTTTATTGTTTTGGATTTGTGAACAAAAATGAATAGATTGATCAATTATTACCTCAAATAGGCGTTTTCGCGGATAAAATGAAAATCAGTGGTTTCATATACAAGCTGATAAATTTTTAAATGATTTTAACATATGTGATTGGTTCGTAGTTCGAGATTATTCCGCGACTAGACCTAAACGCTGAACAAAATAAATAGAAAACATTTCTAACTTTACAGTAAAAACTGTTATACACCAGCAATATACTTTCTTCTTACAAATCCAGTACAAAAACCTATGGGAATAATGCCATTGGTGCAGATAAGCCAACAGCAATCACTTTGTGAAGTAAAGGCAAATATTACACCAGAGCGTAATAATGTAATGTGCAATGCATTATCAACACGTGACTACCGAAAAAAAATTGTTAAAAAACAAGTGTTAAAAAATACAATTTATCTGTGAATTAAAATGACAGACACGACTGTCACTGTTTGTAGACAGACTATAGTCTGTTCATGAAGAGAATGAGGATACTGACTCGCTGGACTGACTATTATATGTATTATTATATACCGTTCTGCATATCCATAATTTAAGATTAAAGCTGATTTTATGGTGATTTTATAATTAAATTGGTCGATATTAAGGATTTATAAGTAATTTAGGATATTGTATAGTTGATTATTTCTATCACAATGATTAAACAGTGACAAAACAGTAAAATCGCTGAAAAAATTGCATTCTTCAGGTAGAAATATAATATGTATAATTACATGAAAACACATGGAGTGATTAAGTATATGCTGTGCATTACCAAAAATTGTATATGAGTAGTCAGTTTAGGGTTATAATTTTATACACAGTCTTAGACAAGGAAAGAGAGGGGACGGGTAACACGCATATTCTCCCGTGATCGGTTTGTGAGGCCAAAATTCGATCGGCGGCCATACTTTGGTGACAAGATTTAGAGGTGACACCGAGCGAATTTTTATGTTTTTTTGTGACAACTCTTTTGTTTTAAATTTATAGACTGTGTTGTTTAGTATGATGAGATGTTCAGCGTATGGCTGCAAAGGCCGAAGCGAGAAAAAAGTTGCTGGAATTACATTTCACAGGTAAAAATCGATACACAACTTTTGTTATGTCGTCATAAAATATATTTAATATGTCTTGTACCACATCCAAACCAAACTATTTTTAATAATTCCAAGTAGTATTTTCAATATCCTGTATTATAATTAATGTTTGAAATTATAAATAATGCACTCACTTATAATGCACTCAATACTCACCTTGGATTTCTCCAGTGGCGTAGGGAATTATAATCAGAGAAATACAATTTCTGCAATAAACATTTTTTTATATATTTTTTACATGTAAAAAATGTATAAAGTATTGTTATCAAATATGTAAAATAATTGTAAACTATAAAAAATTAAAAATTCTAGTGATAAAATCTATATGTATAGTTGTTATATAAAACTTAAATTTACCTGCCAAAATTTGCTGGCGGTGGACAAACTTGTGGTGGGCTACTTGTTATTATATTTTTTTAAATATCCTTTCAAAAAATTTGCTAATTTCGGTGAATAATAGTAGTTTCAGTGAGTAATTAATAAAAAATTAAAAATAAATAAATAAAATAACACAAAGCTTCTAGAATTGTTTATTTTTTTGCGGAAAATCAGGATATTCTAATGATTGAAGGTAACAAATATTAAAAAATTACATTATTCATTGAATCCGTAGGCAAGTGTGACGTAACTAGATATTCTGTGGTGAAGGGGATTGGCTAGATTCATTATTATACCGTATGATCGAAAAAAACGGCGTCCAGTTGGCTTGTAAATGACTGTCGATGACATTCCTCTTAGTCTTTTTTCGATGTCATTTTATATGTAGAATTATATGGGGAATGTCATCGATCGTCATTTCCAAACAAACAGGATGCCGTTTGTTTTTCGATCATACGGTATATATGTATATACACGTTTAAAACATATATATTTATATTATTTTTTATTTAATTATACATTATACACACGTTAATAAATAAATAATTGTCTTGATGATCAGTTCACTGTGACTGTTAAATAAATTTTGCATTATCGACTTAGATATTCTAATATTATAAAGGTGAGACTATAACATACAAAATTGTATATGCATTACTCAAAAATAAACAATATATTTGTTAACGTTTTAATAAATATTTTTTATCGTTTAGGTACAAGCTAATTTCTGATGCTACGCCATTGGAGATTTTCGCGTGGTGACAAGTGGCCTCACTTTCAGCTGCCGTGTTACCTGTCCCCTCTCTTTCCTTGTCTAAGTACACAGTAGTGAAAAATTTTTCGCGGTTAATAACAATTGAACCATTTTCAGCCTACTGTCTTGTATTTTTAGTATACATTGGTTAGTAACAATGACTAAAGAATCCAAGGACAAATAACACCCGACAGCAAATTGTGACGCTGGCATCAAACAGTGCCGTGGCACATATTTTTCTTAACCTAGCTGTTTGAAGCAATATTTATATTTTTTGATAATTGTTTTGACTACGCCTATGGTGTATCATCCTAACTAATTACGAAAAAAACGTACTAAAATGTTAACAAAAGATACAAAACTAGTATCGACGTATAGCACATATCAAGTACATATAGATGTTAATTGAAATTGAAGAATAATTATCGAATTCAATAAGAAAACGCTAAAAAGTTGGAGTGGACTGTTTATTTACCTATGAAACGTAACTCCTGGCTCTTTCTTGTCGCTGTGGCTTTTACACTTGAAAGCTACACAATTCACCATTGTAACAAAGTTTATACAAAGTTCACTACACACAACAAACTATTAAAAATCGCTAAAATTGTCGCTGGTGACTGGATGATGACTCACTGTTTGGCATCAAACGAATGGCGTCTAACGTCACAAATTCTACTACAGCCCGTACAGGGGCGTTACATGTCCTTATATTCTTTAGTCATTGGTTAGTAATGATAAAATAGGAAGAAATAACGAATCACTACATTTGTTAATAGGCGCTTATAAGCTTTAAACTGAGTTTCTAAACCAAATATACCTAAAGGATATTTGACAATATATAAAGAAAAATTCCAAAATTTTCATATTTATTATATTTTACATGTTATAAATTAAATATAAAATATATACCTATACTTTACCTTACTGTATGAATTTTTATACAGTTCCTGTTGGAATAAATTAAAAAATGACAACTCTCAAGATACAACAAAAAATAGAAATTCCCCATTACACAATTACAGTTCGTTTTAATAAAAGCACTTTGCATGATAAATGTTTAGCAAATAGCAATAATTATTGAGTTATAGAAAAAAACAACTCAATATTAAGTTAGATGGGACCAAATATTTTGGTTTCAACAACTAAAAAACACCAAACATTCAAAGAATTTTTAGTTTTCATTTTTTGTGAAGTTAAATTGTCAACATTTCATATGAACATATCACTTTTAACAATACATACGTTCCAAAAAAATATTTACTGTATTTCATTTATTTGATCCCTCATAAATATTCATCTATACTGAAGTTGGTGAAACAGCAGAACTCATTTGCTAAATTATTCTTGTGTTTTGGTTCAAATTGGGTTTTTTTCAAATCTAGTAGTCTCTGTGCTAAATCAGCCATAATAGCCCCTAAATAATTTTTAATAAAATAGTTAATAATTTCATGTATGTATATTTACCTGTACATAATATAATTTTTTCTTTTGTGAGAAATTTTACTGTAACAGCTGTCTTGGTTAGGCATTCATCTGACAAAAATGGCGGATCTGCCACCACAATATCGTAATAACTACTCTTATTTCTAGGTATATTCAAAGGAGATTTGTAATCATATAATACAAAATCATCTCCAAAAGTTGCAAATCTCTGGTCATATTCATATAAAGTAACTAAAAAAGCACATATTATATAGTATATATTTACTAGCAGTATTAAGACTACCTTCTGCATTAGGCCCAGCCCTTTCTTTCATCTTTTTATAAAGAGTAGGGCAAGAAACTAGGGCAATTTTTCCATTAGGACCAATAATGTTCAATGTTAAAGCTACTAGACCTTCAATTGTTTTATCATCATACCAAAACTGACTTAACTGCTAAAATATTTAACAAAATAATACGAAGTATAAAAAAAATTAAAACAAATATAGGTAGGTACCCAGTCTTCATCAAAAATAATATTTCCATTTGAGGAATCGGCTTCAAAATTTTTTTGCTTAGTTTCTCGCTCTTCTTGTTCTCGATAGAATTCTTCTAGAGCTGCAAATGTATTAGCTGATAGTTGTGGAAGATCGTCGTCATTTTCGTTGAAAGACATAAATATTTTCTTTTGGATAAAGTAAAAACTTGGATTAAACCTGCTGCTAAAGCTAAAAGTATGCTAAAACAGAGGCTAAAAGCTTAGCTAAAAGCCACGGCTAAAAGCATAGAAGTGAGGTTATGTATGTCTATGTCATCCAGTCATTTAGTGAGGTTAACTTTTTCTTTTTTAATTAGTTTGAAGGCCTAAGCTACTAGGACTATCTGGCCTGTTAATAGAGTACCACCCTGAGGGTGGTACATTATTAATGGGCAGGATAGTCTGGATTAGAGCAAATCCTGTCTCGGCATTGATCAACCAGAGAAGAACCTGGATCAACACTCAATCGATAAATAATTAATGCTGACCATGGTACAAAGAAAGGTAAAGGTGTGGATGGTGTGAATTCTGTATCCTGTGGCTGACCTTAAAACGAGTTTTTGCTGCATATAGTCATAGATACTTCGCATGCGCACATCGTCGATGTTGCCAGATTGCAAGTTATGTTGGATAGATATTATTTTCAGTAGAAAACTTTGTAGAAAACAAATAATGTGTTTTTTGTCAATATATACCGTATGATCGAAAAAACGGCGTCCATTTGGCTGGAAAATGACGATTGATAACATTTCCCATACAAATTTATGTATAAAATGACATCATCATTTTATTGCAATCGCCGAAGCCGTTTTTTTTTCGATCATTCGGTATTATTTATATTATTATTTTTAATATTTTGCACAACACGTGATCGCTTATTATGTATTTTCATAGTCAATAAAATTAAATAGAAATAAAACTCTAGAATTGCTCTAGATTATATTATGCTACGCTTAAAGTGCATAAAAAGTTGGTATAAAGACATAAAAAGTTATAAATCTAATAAGATCAAAAAAATGATCCTTCGTCATATTATCAAGATTTTGGCATTTCAGGAAAGAAATTTAAATTAAGAAAAGAATATCAAAGTACTAGGCCAGTATAATAATAAGCGAGGGTTTTAGGGTCCGAATTCTGAACACCTGCACTGATTGACCTGAAATTTTAACAGTGAATAGAGATATTATGTAAAAAACAAAAGTTACATAGTAGCGATGTGTGTTTTCACCCTGGGGGTGAGTACCACCCCTTCTCGGGGGTGTAAAAATAAATCACCCATTTTAATTACAAAAATCAATAAAGGGATGAATTCTAAGCAAAAAATGTTCTATAACATTTTTTCAGAAAATTAACATTTTCCTAGTTATTTAGGATTAAAAATGTTGATTTTTCATCTAAAAACTGCATATTTTTTTGCCAATTTTTATAAATAACTCGAAAACCTTGCGTTTTATTGCAAAACTCATAATATAAAAAAATGAAGCTTTTGGAATAGCTAAACGATCAATTTTTTGTTGATTACCGAAGGTGTAATAATAGCCGCGAGTTATCATACTGTAAACGTGATTTTTTATTTTTTGAAAACTAAATTGGCAACATTTTACCGTAAAATATAATGACGAAAGAACACATTTTTTTGAAGAAAACGGATGTGGCCGTTTTTAAAGTGCTTGAAAAGACCTTTTAAATGCTTTCTTAAAAAAGCTTTTGTATCTCAAAAACTCGCGGAGTTATGATAAAAATAATATGATCACCTCGATCATTATTTCGGAAAAAAATTAACAACAAAATCTATGACTAAAATCATAAAAATAAAAACTGATTGACTCTGCAAGTTCGAGCGGTTTAGAATGAGATGGCTTTTTTTGGTACACAGTCAAGTTGGTACACAGTGCAAGCGGCATTACCGAAAGTGTAATAATAGCCGCGAGTTATTCTGTAAACGTGATTTTTTATTTTTTGAAAACTAAATTGCAACATTTTACCGTAAAATATAATGACGAAAGAACACATTTTTTTGAAGAAAATGGATGTGGCCGTTTTTAAAGTGCTTGAAAAGACCTTTTAAATGCTTTCTTAAAAAAGCTTTTGTATCTCAAAAACTCGCGGAGTTATGATAAAAATAATATCACCTCCAAAGAAGCCGGCATCTTTGATTTTTTGCGGAGTCAGATATAGATAAGGACACATTATTTTTTTATTGAGGTGCTAGTATACTCTGTTTTTTTTCTCAGGTAAGATTTCGACAGACGATGACAGAAGAAAAGCAGATGACGTCCCATACCAATCTATTTATTTTACTAAAAAAAGTTTCTAATAATTTTTAAGTTATCTATGGATGGGTTTAAATATAAATCCGTCATGCGTCGTGTCTTGTTGTTTTTAACCAGTTTTATTGGTTTATTTAAAAAATGACAGATCGTATTTCAATTTTATTGGTTTGACGGAACGATGAACAACAAACGGACGCCGATGCGTATGAACTCGCCTTTAGATTTTTGTTATTTTTGACGCTTGTCAAAGTCTTGCCAAATTATAGGTTATAATTTTGTGTCAACTTTTGTTAAATACCCTGCGTTTTGGAAGATGATGCATTTTGATTCGTATTATTACGTGTGTTTTGTGTCTTTTGAAGTTAAGTGGAGGAAAAATCGAGTGAAAATTAACTGTAGACCCAGAGCACAGTTTATGGTTAATACTCTTTGCCCAGGCAGAAAGTCTTATACACCAATGAAGTTGCCATCGATAAAGTTTGTATACCATTTCGTCGTAGATAAGTGCATCTCGTATATGGTAGAAGGATCAAACTAAACACATACTAAAAACTGGAGTAGCTGTAAAATATCGACATCACACGATAGGTAAATAATGGATTTTAGTACTGCAGAAAAATAATGTCAAAAGGTACTGGTTTAAAAAATTAAGATTAAAGTTAATTAATCAACCTTTAAGGTATAAAATTTGGTAGGTGTTATTATTAATAAAATAGTTTGTTTTATTTACCTATGTTGTTTTATTTATTCCTGTGGAATATTACAAATGTGTATTTGTACATAAGTTATATTGATAAATATAATCATAAATGCGGGTAGTTTCATAAAGCTTGAAAATAAATAATAGTTCTTTTTTATATTTTTTTTGGTATATAGTGTCTTGTTCTTGTTTGTTTTGTATTAACACATACCGTTTTTATCAAATAAAATAACTCGATTACATTTTTTCAGTTTTATACAGTTTTTTTCACAATAATTTGAAGTAATCACTTGTCATCTTGTCAATCAAATTTTAAATATATCGCTATGCGTTCCAGTTGTACCAACTTATTTCTTTGTAAAATAAAATAAACTACTTTGAAATTAAATTTTACGGGCTGTCAAGGATCTTCTTGCATTTATCTATGGACTATATTTACACAGAAAATACATTATGAAGGGCGCTGTTGCCATATTTTGGTATTAGTTGATATTAGCAAAGAATATTATTGTTTGGCTTTAGTTAGTTAGGGATAGTATGTCTATATATTCTGCATTTTTTTTATTAATATTCTGTTGTTACACTGCAATAATACTTGTTATTTTGGATGTAAGAAAATGATTTTTAATGTTTTTAAGCAAAGACTGGTTTAATAAATAATAATAACAGTAATAATTTGTTATACCTATTAACAATAAAATTTAAGATGATTTAATATAAATATTTTTTTTTAAGTAGTAGCAAAATATAAACAACAAATTAGATGTCAAAATTATTTATATTAGATCCTATTTAAAAATAATATAGTCTCTAAATTTTTTGGCAACGTTGGTTTATTAAATAATAATAATTACAGAACTAATTTGTTATATTAACAACAAATTTAAAATCATGAAATATAAACATTTATTAATTTTCTAAGCATGCAGTGTAATGCAACGAAAATATAAATAAAAAATTAGAAATCAAAATTATTTATATTAGGTGCTTTATATTACTATTTAAAAATTATATTTACTTTTACTGGCATTTACTTTAAAAAATAAATGAAATATTTCTTCGCAAAAAACTACATGTAAGAGCATTAACATCGTTAATTTTTTTTCTAAATTGACACGTGTAAAACTTTCATTTTAATTTTCTCACCCAATAGTTTGAGTTCGATAACCCCATTTACTTAACCACATTACTTAAATATGATTATTAAGTTCACCTAATTCAAATTATTAAAACATCTAAAATACAAATATGTATTTTTAAAATTAATTCTAAGTTCATCTCATCTCTCTTAAAAATTGCTACTTCTCAAAATTTCCCATTAAAAAATAGACCATATACCATATAAAATTAAATAATTGAAAGATCGGACTACGGAAAACCACACAAATTTTCGGAAAAATTTTGACCACCTGCACATGCACACAAATCGTCAATAAATAAAATTAAAAAATAACTACTATTTTAGTGTTTTAACTATTTTAATAAACGCAAAAATAGCACAGTATTTATACGGCGAAGTTATAAAAATTTGGAAGAACTAATAATGCACTGACGCATACAAAAATCAAACGAATATTAAATTTCATTTATCAAAAGCATTCGATAGTCGTGGCGCAACGATAACCATTTGGTCGCACGGCGAGGTTGTTACATATGCTTTAGTATACAAATGAATGAATGATTTCATTCGAATAAAACCATTCGATAGTTGAAATCATTCATTCATTAACCATTCGATAGTCTAATTCATTCGATAGTTCCCATCGCTAGTAATAATAGCCGCGAGTTATCATTCTGTAAACGTGATTTTTTATTTTTTGAAAACTAAATTGCAACATTTTACCGTAAAATATAATGACGAAAGAACACATTTTTTGAAGAAAATGGATGTGACCGTTTTTAAAGTGCTTGAAAAGACCTTTTAAATGCTTTCTTAAAAAAGCTTTTGTATCTCAAAAACTCGCGGAGTTATGATAAAAATAATATGGTCACCTCGATCATTATTTCGGAAAAAAATTAACAACAAAATCTATGACTAAAATCATAAAAATAAAAACTGATTGACTCTGCAAGTTCGAGGGCTTTTTTTGGCACACAGTCAAGTTGGTACACAGTGCAAGCGGCATTCACCCGAGCGAAAAACGATCCTATCCGACTCAGACCGATCTCCAATCCACGGTTTATTAGGAATGGGCGTTTATATCGATAAAAATTTGACTAATAAATGCAGAATGAAATGTATTTTGGCCATTTTTTAACTAATGTGCCTGATCAGTTTTTCAATTTTATTTTATATAAAAGATAAAATAAATCACCAATTTTAATTAAATAAATATCTTACATTATTAAGTGTATTCGGGCATTTTTTCGGACATTCGACAATTCTTTTTTATTGAAAAAAAAAATCCAACTTTTCAAATAATTTTTTCTCGAAAAATCCTTTATAGATGTGTTTCTGGGGTCGAAATAGACTACCTCTAAAAATAGTTGCAGTTATTTAAGACTCACCCGGCATATAAGTATTTTTGTTATTTTTTTACAACCGAGAAACAAATAAATGAAAAAAGAGCAAGTAAAAAAATATATAACCATGAATTTTTTTTTCTATATAGAACATAAACAAATATAGAGCTGTTTACGGGGAGTTTTGTTGCAACATGACTAAATATCTCCAAAAAATCCTATATGGGTATTCCTCCACTGCAAGAAAATCTACAAAATAAAATAGTTACTTTTTGTAAACGCTTCTACGTTAAACCCAAACGGAAACTACTCGTCAGAAGTTATGTTTACAATTATACAAATTTGCCTAACAAACAAAAAAATGCTTAACGTTTCGGAAAGTTTATCTCTTTCCCTCGTCGGAAGCAAAAAACATACAAAGAATAAAGAAGAAAACTATTTAAAATATTTATGACTAAATATCTGTGTTGGGCTGGTTATATAGTGGACTGTATTTTTTAATAGTTTTATTAATGTTTATATAAGAAATAACAATTCTTTTAATAAATCAAAGAAATGAAAATTCCTGCGGCTTGCTGAGCTGGTGACAAGAAGGTGGCAAGGGCAGAGATAGAGACAGGTTCCCCCTCCGTCGCGTCGGATGGTCGGACAAAAAGCCGGACAACGTCAGGCGCAGAGATAAAGGGTTAGGAGCGGTTGTAGCATTTAGATGGAGCGGGACAGCATTTAGGTGGAGCAATTGCACCATTTAGAAACTTGAGCAATTGCAGCATTTAGAAGCTTGAGCCCAAACAATCTGCGTAAACTTTCGCACTTCGCACACGGCAGAAATTAAATATAAAAGTTCAACAACCAAACCGAACCAAAAGTAAGATAGGCCAAGTCATATACAATCCTAGATACAATACGGTCGAAAAAAAAACGTCAGTAATGGAAATGAAAATCGCTGTTATTTGTATGTAAAATTATATGGAGAATGTTATCGATCGTCATTTCCAAGCCAACTGCATGCCGTTTTTTTCAATCAACGCACATTTTGAAAATAATTTTGTCAACATACAGGGTGATCAACATATTTTCAAACCAAAGTTTTATATTTTTAAACGAAATACTATATATTTTGGCTCAACTTTCGTTTAGCTGAAATCTGTTATATAAAAACTGACTTTATATATGCGTTCTAGAAGGCGTTAGGAGTACAAATATACCAAAAATTTTCCTGCGGAAATGCCTCGCTTTCATTCTTCGGACTTTAGTATAGCCGAAATCTGTTACATCAAAACTAGCCTTCGGGGTGTATTTTAGACATTTTTCTAAACATAAAAACACAAAAAAGTGTCTTTAAATTTGTGTGATTAAACAAAACCATGTTCGATTATGATATAAAATACAGGGTGTTGCATTTAAAATAGTGGTGAAAAATACAACATTTAGTTTAGACTCGCCCTGTATATATCAAATAAAGATTGTAATTGATGGTAGACCGAATTTTGAAGAGGACACTATTATAGTACTTTCTATTTTAAAAAAAAGAGAACCTTAATTTTGGATATCCAGATAAATCTGAAATTATAAATTTATAAAAAATTATATAGAATTTGTATTATTATGGATTAACACTCAAAAAAAAAATTTCAACTGCAAATAATTCGAAAATAAACTGCAATTTGGCAACATCGACGATGTGCGCTTGCGTAGTATCGATGATCAAATGCAGCAAATATGGGCTTCAAGGTCAGCCACCGGATCCACACCTTTACCACTATTTTTAATAATTCCAAGTAGTATTTTCAATATCCTGTATTATAATTAATGTTTGAAACTATATATTGCTACACAGACCGGATTTCACCAGTGACGTAGGGAATTATAATCAGAGAAATACAATTTCTGCAATAAACATTTTTTTATATATTTTACATGTAAAAAAAGGTAATGGTGTGGATCCGGTGGCTGACCTTGAAACGAGTTTCTGCTGCATATAGTCACAGATACTACGCATGCGCACATCGTCGATGTTGCCAGATTGCAGGTTATTTTGGAATTATTTTCAGAAGAAAACAAATATTGTATTTTTCAGCGTTTTTTTGTCAATGTATACCGTGATCGAAAAAAAACGGTATCCAGTTGGCTGCGAAATGAGGATCGATGCATTTTCCATATAAAATGACAACGATCTTCATTTCATAGTCATCGCTGACGCCACTTTTTTCGATCATACGATATTATTTTGGTATTATTTTAATATTCACACAATACGTGAACGCTTATTATGTATTTTCATAGTCAATAAAATTAAATAGAAATAAAATTCTAATCTAATATTGCTCTAGATTTATTATACTACGTTTAAAAAGTGCTTTATTAAAAATTCGCAAAATTAAAAGATGTGTCCAAGTTTCTTCTTTTTTTGAATTTTTAAATGCTGTAGCACCATATCATGTTCATAATAGATTTTATAACATTCCATTAAAACTACGTAGGCCTTAAAAAGGTCTCCGTAATTATAACTGTAAAGTGAGCAGTATTAATAGGTATCTTATTTTGTATCTGCTTATATTGCATTAATTTTTCTGCAACAAGATTTTTCTATCTTACACCTAATTTATGTGATTTTCTTATTAGCATATAATATGATCTATAAACAATATTTTTCCTAATGGAAAGGATTTGCAGGTATTAAGATATCTTATCATTTATTCTCCACACCACAAAGTATAATATGTAGTAGAGGTATTAAGACATAAAAAAATTATAAGAAATATCTTAATATAAATCACAAACTAACTTAAGTTTTAAGTTAGTCTAATAAGATCAGAAATGAATCTTCACCATATTATCAAGATATTGGTATTATATAGGAAAGAAATTACAGTAAATTAAGAAAAGAATATACAGGATATTAAGTACACACAGTAACAGAAAAACAGTAACAGAAAAAGATAAAGCATAAAACTTATTTTAATCCTATCAGCATTCTTCGATAAAATATATACCTACAATGGCTGCAATAAATGTGTCATATTGATGATACAAAATAATTCTAATAGGTTTAAAACTAATAAGAAAAAATCCGTAAATGATAATTTTTAATTATAATGTAAATATATAAATAAATATATTATTATTACATTATTATATATTACTTAGAACTCCGATTACAATTATAATACCTTAACTTCACAATCTCCATTATCCTTCTTACCTTAATTTTTAATATCAAGATAAATCTGAAATTATAAAATTAATTGTAGAATTTGAAATATTATTATTACTGATTAACAGTCAAAAAACATTTGTTTTTGACTAAAAATAATTCGAAAATAAACTGCAATGTGGCAACATCGACGATGTGCGCTTGCGTAGAATCGATGATCAAATGCAGCAAATATGGGCTTCAAGGTCAGCGACCGGATCCACACCTTTACCTAAAAAAATGTATAAAGTATTGTTATCAAATATGTAAAATAATTGTAAACTATAAAAAATGAAAAATTCTAGTGATAAAAAATCTATATGTATAGTTAGATAAAACTTAAATTTACCTGGCAAGATTTGTTGGGGGTGGACAAACTTGTGGTGGGCTACTTGTTACTACATACATATATTTTTTTAAATATTCTTTCAAAAAATTTGCTAATTTAAGTGTATAATAATAGTTTCAGTGAGTAATTAATAAAATTATATTAGTTTACGTTTATAAATTATTATTATATATTAGTTTACGTTTTACTAAATATTTTGTACCGTCTAGGTACAAGCTAATTTCTGATGCTACGCCATTGGAGAATTTCGCGTGGTGACAACTTGCCTCACTTTTAGCTGTCGTGTTACCTGTCCCCTCTCTTTCCTTGTCTAAGCTTATTCCAAAGAAAAAAACTTTAATTCTAGTAATTCTTCTTTACGGCTGCGTCTTCCTGTACAGTGAGTACAGCATGAGCCAAAGTGTAAAGCCAGAGTCTCATGCATCCGAAATCCGATGGTACGACATCCGAAATTTGAAGTTATCGTGTGAAATAAAAAAAGCCTGTCACATACATCCGAAAGTTCGTTCCGAAATTTGACAGTTTTAACATTTTTCTGCTGCGCTGAATAGAGATTCATGTCATGTTTTATTGGAGAAACACTTATAAAAATAACTTCCTCGCCAAATATCCCGAAATTGCCCACTTCCCACTAAACTTGTTTTTAAAAACAAATGTTTTCAAAAAAAGTGAGGTTAAAAAACACACGATATCGTACAAAAGTTAAGCAAAATTTAACTTTATACGACGTCGGATGATTAGTTAAAATTATCGGATAAAAATTGTTGTCAAAATATTTCGACCAATAGGAGCACCGTCGGATCGTCGTGTCATCGGATTTCGGATGCATGAGACTCCGGCTTAACACGCCAAAAAGAAGTGGAAAATGTGCAAAAATGCCTTTCCAATAACAGCTGATAAAGTTTAGAGATAGAGACATGCATTTTCGTCTGTGATTTTCGTTTAGTCATAATTTTTTGAAAAAGTTATACAAGGCACATACATATTATTCTTTACATGATATTAAAGAATTGGGTATACCAAGAATTGAACAGTGACAATAGATGAATGAGTTAAATAAGGTTAGATGCTATATTTTTTGTATTTTGATAAATTTGTCAAAATTTCATAATCATTTGAAAAATGTAGCTAAATTCCACATAAAAATATTAAAACAAAAATGTTTCAGATAAAAAGATAAAATGTCATACCAAAATAAGAGTGTCAGAGGCAGAGGAAAACATTTTAACAATATGCAGACCTATCAAAGAGAAGACAGTATCTCGAGACCTCAAAATAGTAGTTATCCTAATTATGCTGTGCAAAGGAGAGAATTTCAGAACATATCAAAGCATGACAATAATTGTTGTAAGGAAATTAGTGTAAATTTACATTTGTATGATGAGGATATAATCTTTTTTCAAGATTTAAAAATGATGTATCAATCCTGTAAGTTTTACTAACTTAAAATACTGCAAGTATTAGGTTTATTGTTATTTTTTTTTTCAGTAAAACAAAGCCCCCCAGTTACTTCAAAGCTCGAAATCTATTTTAGTAGCTGCAAGAATCCTTATGATCAGTTTTTAAAATTATTATACAACTGTCAAGATTTTTACAGTGCTAAGTCTAAATCTTTACCTATGCTTTTAATAGACGAATTTAAAAAATGGTCGGCAAGAAACAAAAGTGAATTAAGAAATTTATTAACACCACAGCTTCAAATTGATGCTTTTAAAATTATTACAAAGCAGAATATTCAGTTTGTTACCAAACTTATATTTGAAATATTTGAAATGGCCGAAAATTGTGATATATTTGTAGATAGTATTAATTGCTATATTGACAAAAAACAGTACAAAGAGGTAAGAATCATCTAGAAATATATAGTTAATTAATGAATAGAAATAATACTCAAATTAATATCATTCATCCGGAAGAAGAGTGTTACATTTCAAAAAATCTCACTTTTGAGATTTTTCTGTTAAAACACCTAAGAATATGTATATTTTAGGTATTTTAGCAGAGAGCCTACGAGAGATATTAATAAATTGTTTAAAAATTACAAATCTATAATATGTCGTTTTTATGTAACATTACATTAAATTAAATATTATAAAATGTGTAAAGGCTTCCTGAAAAAGTTGTTTTTTGAGATGTCACCTTCCTGATGAACAATATGTAAAGAAATAGATGTTCTGATATTTTTTATATACCCATCATATACAAAATACATAGATAATTTCTATATATTTTCTGCTTCTCTGATCTCTCTGGTCTGGTTTTTAATTGGACTGGATTTTCCATATGGTTTTGTAACAAATTACTCGCTATTTTATGGCAAATGCTAAAGCTCTGCAAACCTTAATCAAGCCTTAATCGAAGCACGTGTGTTTGGAATTTTGGGTGTGGCTTAACACAACAGGATCGGGCTAAGCCTTAGGCAGATTTTCTAGGCCGCATAGAAGTTCTCTAACACCTAAAATTAAGGATGACTTGTGCAATTCTTTGGTGTTGTCTCATTTCTCTCACTGTTCTACAGTGTACAGCGAATCGTTGAGTGCCGCTGATTTATATAGAGTGCAGAAGGTTCAAAATTCATGCTTGAGATTTATTTTTGGCATTAAAAAGTATGATCACGTCACATTCACATTACAGCGTTTACAGTGGTTAAAGTTAAGATGAAAAACAGATTTATTTTTAACATGATAAATACTTTTCACAATATTATTACTAAAGAAATTCCTGTATACCTGTTCAATAAAATTCAGTTCCGAAGAGCTGCCCATAATGTCAATATTCGTCACCTGAGCAACATTTCCATTCCTTACCACAGGTTGACTTTATTTAAATCATCATTTAGCTACTGTATTTCTAAATACTATCCGGAGCTGCCCTTTAGTTTAAGAGTCGTGAGGAATGTCCCTTTTAAGAGTCGTGTGCGCTTGTGGCTTTTTAAAAGATAAATTGTTTAATGTATTCAATGTCATTCAGTGAATTCAATTTTTTTTCTTTTGTATTTTTCTTGAATTATCATTTTATTTCGCGTAAGGAGTTAAATGGAAGAGCAGAATTGGGTTGTTCTCAATTCTGAATTTCGCTCCCTTCCGGGTCTGTTATTTGTTGTTGTATAACCTATAAGTTTGATTATCTTTGACTGTACTTATAGATTTTATTATTATTATTACTTATCCTCTGTCATTATACATAATTAAATTGTTCTATTTACTGACTTAGAAATAAAGACATTTTATTATTATTATTTCTGAAATATAATATATATATTTCTTTCGGCCACACACCCGCTTTACCAGACCCCTGAGAGCGACCCGAACAGTACAGTGTAATAGACTGTTAACATCTAAACCAAATTTCAGCTTTCATTATGTCGAATTTATGATTTAACCAATGGTTATTCAAGATCATGTTTCATTATACACATTTTTTATTTGTTATCCCCAAAACTATTAGAGAGAGGTATAGGTTAGTATAATAGAAAAATTATCAGATATCAAAGTAGTTTCGAAAAATGTAATAATATACCGGATGTTCCATTTAAAATATCAAAATGCTACCATTTTGGTATGAAGCGGCAACACTGTAATGCGAAAAATAATTTAGACAGATGGAGCAAGCGCCTTTATGCAATAATCTAAATTTTAAAAAACTCCCATCCCCGGTTCTCCATAAACGTCTAACATGCGTCTAACGTACCATGACCGTGAATCACACTGTATATACGAGTAGGTATTCTCTATATCCCAATTGCAAGTGTAAACAAGAAATATTTTAGAATAAAAAAAACATTTGTTACAAGTTTTAAAAATTTATTATACCACAATTAATTAAAAAATCTATATATATATATATTAACGAAAATAAAATATTCGTGATTTAATTCAGAAAATTCATGACTCGCCATAGGGATGTAAAGGAGATACAAATTAAAAACCGTTGCACGTCATCGAGCACGTGCGTACATTTTAGACATTGTTGCCAGATTGTAATAGAAAGAGAATTTTCGGCATCGATGCTTTTGATAAATCTAAGTTAAAACTAAATTGTACGTTAAAGATAAATCTACAAATGAAATACTATAGATCGCTATGATTTTATATGTAAAATTATATACGGATTGCATATATTTATAAAAGAATTTTAAATATATATAAGAAAACGCCAACCTGACTCCGTTTTTTGTATTATACGGTATATGGTTCCATGATAATATTAGAGTAATACTGTCCAATTATTGGTTAACGCCATTTTTTTAGTCGGGAAATTTTTACAATAAAAATAAAACATGAAATATTCACAACAAAATATTAGTTAAAATTTTCTTAAATTGTGGCTAATTATGTTTACAATTAACTTTTCTTAAATTTGCCTTATTTATTTGTAGTATTACATATTCTATTTTTGATTATGCCTCGTTAGTTGCATCAGTCTTTTTGAACATCTAATGAATGTTTCAGGCTTGCCAATATAGTGCAATGCTAAAATTGCACGATAAATTTTCAATAGAAGATTTTCTGGTGCCCTTGATTTTACAAGACAAATTGCAATGTGTCGACGATTTTCTTCATGGAAGTAAGAGGCACCAAAGAGAATTAGTCGAATTTTTAGATGTTATGTTGAATAATGCTTCGTTACGCCAGTCTATGGAACAGTATGTTCTGTAAGTTGCTATCATAACTACAGAAAAAAATGTAAACCGTTTCCGAATGAATATAAATTTCTTATTTTTAAGTGAGCGTGAAATTCCCGAAGTACGATTTGATAAGTTGCATGTCAAATCATGGAAGAAAATTATAAGTCGTCTAGTTAAAATGTTTAAGTTGTCACTAGATCTGACGCCGAACTTGAATAAAAGGCGAAACGCCGGTGCTTTACAGTTTTTATTAAAGAAGAGGTTTACGAAAAACACGTTCAGTATGATAATATAGATTTTACATTAAGAGCATATTTAGAAGTAAACTAATTTGTTAGGTGACGAAAGTTGGAAAGAAATGGTAGAAGAGGCAGTTGGCGATGACGAGAACTTGCAAAAGGAATTAGTAGTAAGCGTAGCGCAATATGGAGAACTCTCTGAAGCTTTGCGATGGGCGATTTTCTATAGTATAGATAAAAGCGAATGGCCCTACAGTCTTCAATTGTTGGATGAAAATAAGTAAGTTACATTGGTCATTCTTTTACACTACACAATTCCGGTGTCTGTTGTTGTCCGAACTAGCGCTGAATAAGCCCTTTGTTTGGTCAGATAAATTTATAGCCTTGGTGCATTCTTCGCCGATGCTGCCGCCATCGGATAATTCCGTAAACAAGCGACTTATACAAATACGCGAGCTTAAATAGCGAGTACACGAAAAAATGTTATAATATTATTTGAGAAGTATAAGTGTAATTTTGAAGATTCTAAAAAAATAAAAAGGTAAATCTTCATTCATTTTGACATCTTCTGAAGGTCTGAAGTGTATTATAATTTATTATTCAAGGTAATAATTAATAATACCTTTTATGTGAGTAATATCATACGTATACAGGGTGGCCCAGGTTTAGCGTACATTAGAAGTTTCTAGAGAACTACAACATCTAGCTCTAACATTTTTTGCACATCATAGTTTTACAACGAGATCTATCGATTAAAAATACTTTCAATATGGCGGCACTTCCGGAGATACCGGAAGTTGACAGCAACTTTCTTATTTTAAATGGGTGCCCCTATTTTTTATTACATACTTAAATTCTCTGTAAAATGTTATGAATTTTGATATTAAACACTCTATACTCTAAACACATTATACTCTATACCGTTATTAACCGTTTTTGAGAAAAAAAAATGGCGCCGGGAGGCACGTATAGCCGCCCATACTAAAATATGTTAATAAAAAGTTGGTAGGCAGTTCTTTTAGTTTCAAAGTAAAGGAATTTTTCCAATTTTTTTTATCTCTAAAACTGTGACTTTGACAGATTTTGATGTTATTACAAATTTTGTTGCAATTATTATTCCTAATCTTAAATTGAAAACCGCGTTTCGCTAGCTAGTGTAACTTTGGAGTTACGATTTTTTTAAATTTTTAACCCCCTTCCATATCCCCTTACCAACCCCCCACCCCCACCAAAAACTAATGGCCAGATTATCGGGTGCCACAGTATTTTTGTGTCAAATTTGGTAAAAATCTGTTTAGCGGTTTTTGAGTTATCGTGTTACAGACGGACAGACAGACAGACAGACACCATGAAAATATTTTGTATTTAGGTCATTTATGACCCAAATAACACATTTTGAGTGAAATTAAAAAAACTTTTTTTTGTCGATCTTAATAGCCTACCATACCTATTGGTATGGTCGGCTAAAAACATTTAAAAATTTTGAACGAAAAAAATTGCCTGTCAAAAATATGCGTATAGCCTAAAAGTCAAATTAAGTGATTACCACAGCCACTGTGCCACAAAGAGAAAACATGTGGCTATCTATTTCGAAAATTAAATTGTTTGAATGTCTTATAATAATGGCCCCAGCTCACCTAGCTGTCATTGAGCGATGAAAAAATTATCATAAATCAATTTTTTCAAATGGAAACCCACTTCTTTTATTTCACTAGTGAAAAGGCTTTGTTACTTTTTGACTATACATGTTCCTATACCTAAAATAAATCGTTTTTAAGTTATTTAAGATTTAGTATTAAAGCGTATATTTTTATTCATTTTAACCAGTAGCCTATGACTTTAAACGTCAAGTGATGTAATAGATCTGGTCATGTCATATTGTTACGCATTGTTCAAAAAGCAGCATCATTTACGAGCCAACTTTGCGCTGTTTTTTTTCCGTCATACGGAATATTATTAATATCAATTATTAGATATCAATAAAGAGCGAAAATACGAGATATATTTTTATAAATACACTTTTTAAACTCTTAAGGGCGACAGTATTTATAATATAGGAAATTCAAATATTTCGTTTTCTCACAGATTGAAATAAATTTTCTGACCGTTTGACACTTAATGTCAAAGGAATCTAGATAAAATCAAGAAAAATATACGTTTTCAAATTAAATCTTAAATAACTTATAAACAATTTATTTTACGTATAGGAACATGTATAGTCAGTGGCGGACTAAGCCTGTCGGGGGTCCGGGGCGGCGAAACTAAATGTGGCCCCCGGTCTGTTCAGATAATGATATACTTTTAATGCACATTTTGTAAAAATTGAATGACGTATGTATAATGATTGACAAAATTCCAGTATTTGTACAGGGTGTCCCAGGCTGAGCCTGCATTAGATATTTCTAGAGAACTACAATATCTAGATACGAGATTTTGTGCATATCATTGTTTCACAACGAGATCTATCGATTAAAAATATTTTCAATATGGTGGCACTTTCGGAAGTACCGGAAGTTGACAGCAACTTTCTTATTTTAAATGGGCGACCCCATTTTTTATTGCATACTTAAATTCTCTGTAAAATTTTATGAATTTTGGTATTAAACACTCTATATGTAACGTTAACCGTTTTTGAGAAAAAAAAATATTTCTAATTTTTGGAGGAAAAAAACTGCCTGTCAAAAATATGTATATAGCCTAAACGTCAAATTTAGTGATTGCCACCATATTGCCACAGCCACTGTACCATAAAGAGAAGACATGTGGCTATCTATATCAAAAATTAAATTGTCCAAATGTCATATAATAATGGCCGCAGCTGTCATGGAATTGAGTGATTAAAAAATTATCATAAATCATTTTTTTCAAATGGAAATGGAAAAAAAAAGTGGAAGTTGGTTTCGTTACTTTCGTTTTTAAAATTTGTTACTTTTTGACTATACATGTTCTTGTACCTAAAATAAATCGTTTTTAAGTTATTTAAGATTTAGCTTTAAAGCGTATATTTTTCTTGATTTTAACCAGTAGCCTATGACAGTATATTATCGATCATCATTTCGCTTTGCGCTGTTTTTTTTTCGATTGTACGGTATATTATTAAAATATCAACTATTAGATATCACTAATGAACGAAAATACGATATAAATACCCTTTTTAAACTTTTAAGCAGCGGTATTTATAATATAGGAAATTCAAATAATTCATTTTGTGACAGATGGAAATAAATTGTCTGACTGTTTGACACTTAATGTCAAAGGAAGCTAGATAAAATCACGATACACGTAAACGTTTATGTTTACGTGTATCGTGGATAAAATCAAGAAAAATATACGTTTTCAAACTAAATCTTAAATAACTTAAAAACGATTTATTTTAGGTATAGGAATATGTCTAGTTAAAACATAACGAATTGAAAAATCTTTTCACTAGTGAAATAAAAAAGTGTGTTTCCATTTGAAAAAAAAATATTTATGATAATTTTTTAATCGCTCAATTCCATGACAGTTACCGCCATTATTATATGACATTTGAACAATTTAATTTTTGAAATAGGTAGCCACATGTCTTTTCTTTATGTCACAGGGGCTGTGATAATCACTAAATTTGACTTTTAGGCTGTACAAATTTTTTCGACAAGTAGTTTTTTTCGTCCAAAAATTTTAAATATTTTTGTCTTAAAAATGCTTCCAGGGAAATACCGCAACAAAATATCGCGATTTTGTAAGTTCTCCCAGATCCGAGGGGCCCCCTCGCTGTCTCAGGCCCGTGGCCCCCGTTATACTAAAGACTTCACTGCTCATCATCGGTAAAGAAGCTAGAATACAAGTTATGCTGTGCGTTGGTTGTAATTTAAAATGTTTATTTAGTAAAAATAAATAATGAAACCATTGAAAAATAACCTAAAAGCTAAAATAAATAAATTCAGTCTCAAAATATATAAAAAATAATAATTTTTCCATATTTTAAACAAAGAAAATTACCCTTTGATTTAATTTCCTAAATAGAAAATGCCATTGACAGTTACTGGGGCCTGATAATTGATAATTAAGTAAATATCTGCTTTCATTTATACTGTTTATATTACTTGGTGTATACGTATGGTTTGCATACTCCACTTATAAACTGCTTTATAATGACTGAACACATATTGGCCTTGTTTGCCAGTTGAATAAAAAATTACTTATTAAAATTCGGAGGCGCCATAAAAGACGGGGCCCGGGGCGGACCGCCCCTTCCGCCCTCCCCCCTTAGTCCGCCACTGTGTATAGTTAAAAAGTAACGAATTGAAAAACCTTTTAATTAGCGAAATAAAAAACTGGGTTGCCATTTGAAAAAAAATATTTATCATCATTTTTTAATTATTTAATTCCATGACAGCTACCGCCATATTATATGACATTTGAACAATTTAATTTTTGAAATAGATAGCCACATGTCTTCTCTTTATGTCACAGTGGCTGTGGTAACCACTAAATTTGACTTTCAGGCTATAAAAATTTTTTTGACAGGTAGTTTTTTTCATGCAAAAATTTTAAATATTTTTTTTCTCTTAAAAACGGTTAATGTTAGGTATAGAGTGTTTAAGTAAGTTTAGGCACAGAGAATTTAAGTATGTAATAAAAAATGGGGGCACCCATTTAAAATAGGAAAGTTACTGTCAACTTCCAGTATTTCCGGAAGTGCCGCCATATTGAAAATATTTTTAATCGAAGGTCTCGTTGCAAAACAATGATGTGCAAAAAATCTCCGATCTAAATATTGTGGTTCTCTAGAAACTTCTAATGCACGCTCAGCCTGGGACACCCTGTATATGTAATGTGCACTTTGTTTACACACTTGTTTCGCCAAACTGCCTGAATCCATTTTGTCAAGCTGAATCCAAGCTGTAAAATGTAATTCCAGGAGAGTTGTATTGTGTGTTATTGTACCCAACAACCACGCAATGACGCCCTCCTGTTCGTGTTGACATTTTTCCGGAAATGTTATTATCATTTGAAATTGTCACAACAAAACGCGTTACCCAGTTTAATTATTACTACCCGAAACAGCGTTACATTACACAAACTTTGTATTTGAGAATTTTATAGTTTCAGTAACTGCACTAGTAAAAGCCAAAATACTTAAATATTATGACATAGCCTCGAATTCAATATTATTTCAACGCGGTCAACATGAACAGTAACCGGGACGGTGTAAAATAAATTTGGTCAGACAGTTCTGATTTTTGCCGTACCGAGCGCTGCTGTCGAAATTTTGAAAATCGGGTGAAATGCACCAAACCTATACTGACGGCTAAACACAGGATTGTGTATTTAAAGTAATCGCAAAACAATTTCCGATGCACGTTATCAACTTTGAGTGACAAGCGATGGCGACAGCGTTGTCAGACTGGGATGGATTTATGAGATAAATCTTAATGTAAAATTGGATAACAAAATATTATTTATTATATCATTTTTTAAATATTTTTATGTTTTACAGTAGACTTTCGATTATCCGACTCTATAGTAATTAATTTATTAACAGTAGTCACTAACTCTCACAGTAGAAATATTTAAATGTAGGCAGCAGCTACTCGCTACAAATCGAAATAACTTTGAAGTGGTATAATGTGCTTACCAATCAAACTTACTTCTCTGACTGCAGTCAAGTGTAATAAAGGACATTTATTAAAAAATGTCTATACATACCTATGTGGCGGATTCATCTTTCCAAAAAAATCCTGTATGGGTATTTCGCCACTGCTACAAGAAAATCTACAAAATAAAATAATTATTTTTTGTAAACACTTTTGCGTTAAACCTGAACGGACGCTGCTTGTCAGAAGTTATGTTTACGGTAATACAAATTTGCCTAACAAAGCAAAAAAAAAATGCTTAAAAAATTTTTTTTCATTATTTTATTTTGTAGATTTTCTTGCAACAGTGGCGAAATACCCATACAGGATTTTTTTGGAAAAAAGGACATTTATTGTCACATTCTCGTTCAAAATAGTTTATCAGGAAAGCTACAAGCTCTTTGCTTCGACTGTTTAAATGCTTCGGCATTTTTTCAACACACAACTTCAAGAAATGCAATACAAAAACTTGAAAATTTAATTCTTAAAAGAACTATTTGTGCTTAAGAGTACAATTTTTAAAAAAATACTATGCAAATAGACAAAAAACTAGAATTACTCCCAAAGATTCAACAACACGATATTATACAAAATAATGACTGCCATTATGATAATTGTCAATTAATAAACGACAACGTTGTGATCGCGGTGCAATGTGACCAACATGGCGATAATAAAAATCGTTTTTAACTAATTTTTGCAGCTTTAATCTAAATAAAATATTTGTTACAATCATTTGCTCTATAAAGTAAGATGAAGAGCTGCTCGGTATCTTCAATTATACAACAAATTTAAACACTTGCCAAAATTTTATTTAGTCAGGTTTATAGGATTTAGTGTCAATTTCGATATGATTAATGACGTCTATCGGAAAATGTTGTGCAATTACCTTAGATAACATATTTAACTTACCGGATACGAATTTTGGGATTTTAAATTTATTACCTAACAAAATGTTCGCCAAACCCCGTCATATTGCGTAAAATTTATGTGTTTTTTGTATACCTGTCTACAACTTATTGATCACTGTGAATACCTGTTCGATATAAACAGGGCCTTTGCTAGAGTTTTGTCCGAAAAGTGCAAATTTTTAACGTGTCGCCCTTATTTCTGTAGTTAATAAAAAAATTGGCTCAGTTAAAACAGTTGTTTAACAGAAATAGGTATTTTTTACCTTATTTGATGACTAACTTTTTACATAATCTGTCTGACCCTAAATTACTTATCTGCTTATTTTAAAACTTTTTTTTCAAGACTACCAGATTCTGTACCATTATCTCCATCGACAGAGGATTGGGATCAAGATAATTCTAGCAAAGTTGAATTTCACAAATATCCGTTACCACTGGATACTATTATTTTGGTGGATAATATACAAAAATTTGAAAACTTTTTAGACACTGGCCTTGAGGTGAGGTATACTCCTGGACAAAATTATCGCACAACTTGGCTTTTAGAAATTTATTTTTTTAGGGAAATTAAAAAAAATAGAATAATTAACATTGTTGACTATGCATTATTTATTAGCAAAAAAAAATCATATTCTATTCAACAAAACGAGAATTAACTTACTAAATTCATTTTTAGGAAAAAAAAATTTAATAATTTCAACTTCGATACAAAAATAAAACAATAACCCCAAGAACAACCATAATGCATTATTAATATTGTGTGTTGCCACCTCAAGCTGCAATAATCACTTGAAGTCTTCGCAGCATTCCTTTTATCAAATTTTGAAAAGTTTCCTTCCATGACATAAACTCCTCACGCGCAGTCCGTTCCAGAGGATTTCTTTGCCGAATACGCCTTTTTAAAATATCCCAGCCATGTCCTATTGGATTCATGTCGGGGCTGCGTGGCGGCTAGTCTAAAGTGGTAATTCCCACGTCATGAAGGTATTGAATAACATCCAAAGCCAAGTTAGGCCGAGCATTATCATGCATTAGTAAGAAATCCGCTCCTACTAATGGCGCAAATGGAACTACATGTTCTTCAAGGATCTCCAACACATATCTGCGTGCATTAAGGGCAGGTCTAGGTAGAGACACCAACTCAGTACAGGCATCGTAGGCGATGCCTCTCCAAAACATAAGACTTGGTGAGGAGGGGTCCAGTTGCGGTCGTTCTGTAACTTAAATTCCCTTCATGGAGGCGTCTTCTAACTGGACGATCTGAAATATTGACATTGAGTACTTCGTAATCAAATCGTAGTACTCAATGTACTAGTAGATGTTCGGCTAGTAGATGTTCTGTTTCTTAGAACATTGTGGCGCAAAGAATCGTTATCTTTTTGAGAAGTAGTTCTATGTCGTCTTTGTCCTGGCCTTCCGCTGCACAGCTCTTAGAACCGTTGTATAATGCACGCCTAAAACGCCAGCCACTTAACGGTAATTTCGACCGTCTCCAACTAAAGGTATTGCTTGGACCGCTTCATTTTAAGTCAGATAACGTGACGCTCTATCCCCATACTCAATAGAGAGAATGGTTTATGTTTCACAACCGGTCATTTTTTAATATCAACTCAACAGTACGAAATACTACTAACATAAACATTTTTTTCCCCAGTTCTGCTTTTCGTTCGAGCAAAGATAAGTAACTGTTTTATTTGATATTTATTTTTTTGATTTTCTTAAAAAATAAGCAGTGGTGCGATAATTTTGTCCAGGAGTGTATTAAAAATAAAAATAAAAAAATATTTACACATAACTAAAAATGCTGGGTATTTTACTGAAAAAGAAAATTTAAAAATATGAAAATTTACTTTTGTAAAATCTCCCTGTACTTTGTATTTGTAACCGTGGATTAAAAATGGAGTGGTACTTTAGCAAAAAAAATCTTAAAACTAAAAGAATTTTGGACTTCCATTTAGTTAACTAATTGACTTAGGTCACACTTGATAAGGGTTAGTGATGCTTCTGGCCGAAACGATGTGTAAGCAAAATAAATAAAGACAGTGAAAGTCCGAAATTCTTTTAATTTAAATACTGAATCATTGTTTATCACATTCACAACAAATCTTGTTTTAGTGGTGAAATACCAGCGTTTCCAGATATGAAGCCACCACCAAGGTATAGACATTATAATATTAGATTTTATGTTTATTAGGGTATAGATTTGGTTGGTATCGATTGTGAATGGAAGCCTAGCTTTGGAGGTCAATGTAACGAACTCGCCCTTATGCAGATCGCCACTAGAAAAGCAGTTTATGTTATAGACGTAGTAAACCTTGCTCATAAAGAGCCCCATATGTGGCAAGACTTGGGGAAACACTTGTTTAATAATTGTGATATTTTAAAATTAGGTAATATATTTCAGGTGACAACAAATAGGAGATATTTTTATAATTCAGTTAGGTATTGAAAAAAAAATTATGGGAAATTTCTTCAGCGCACCCAATAACAAAATTAAAATTGTTTTGACATATGTCATGCTGGCAAATTACAGAAATTCTCTTTACATATTCAAAAACTGGGATCGGATGATGAAATATCGAAAAAAAGTTAAAGAGGAAAGTTGTTCAGTTATATGACTATTTATATTTAATGTACGTTTATGTCCCAAGTTTCGAAATATATAGAGACTTTAAAAAAATAGCGATTTCTCGGCAATTTTTTGAAGTAAAATTATTATACCTAATACATACAGGGTCGCTGGAAGGTATGGGAACGGTCGATTATTAGATAAAATATAAGAGGTACCGCAAAAAGTTACATATAAAAGTTCTAGGGGTTTTAAATATCTATTAGCGGGTAATAAATTTAAGTATACAAGGTCGGTCATAAAGTCGTGACACATCAAAGTTTTTTTTAATGAAACCCCCTGTATATTATTGCCATATTTCGGTTCTTCCTTCAATTCTAAGCAATTACTCGTAACGATTTTTACCAAGAGATCTTTACTACGTAAAAAAACGTAGTAAATGTATATTTTTTTACCCCGTAGTTTTATACATGTACGGACGACAAGTTATTACTCTTCAAACCAGTTAAAATTATGTAGGTGGCATGGCAGTTGGAAATTAGTAGTAGTTGTCAGAAATTATTTGGAAAAAATCAAAATAAAAATGAAACTTCTAAACCCTGGATTTCCGAAACTAAGCATTTTAGGACATACATTTATACGAACTTTTTTACTTATTTTTATCTGCAAAATATGCTGCCGAAGTTTCCGGAATACAGTTTGGACCACTCTGCACTCTGTATAGAGAAAATATTGTACTTGAAATTATTCTTACTTTGTTTTACTTTAATATTACGAAAAATGTAAAAAAATATATTTTTAACCAAGTCTGTGCTGAAGAAATTCCACATAAACTTTTTTCAATAATAAAGAAGTCCCATATGTTGCGAACCTTGCAGTAAAAAATAAATATACACTACCGGCATGAAAAACGGACACCTTAAAATTTTCATGTAGGTATTTTAAAGTTTTATATATTGTGTTTTGGTGAACCCATTTTGATCATTTTTTAAGCAATGTGTAGCTAAATTATTTGAACTATTTCTAAATTAAAAATGACATTTTTTATCTGTCAATTATACGAGGGAAAACAAAATGTTGATATTTTTGTGAAAGTTTCCGATCGAATATGTTAACAAAGCTAGGAATTTAAAAATTATTTTATTATCTAGGTGCATTTTTTCTCGATATTTTATTTTTTTTGTTCATCTCAATAGCTTTAGCTTTATTTTTTTTGAGATATTGGCTTTTGAAGAAGACAGTCATCAGCGTATTGAAGTTCTGTGATGAATTTATATTATATTACGCTGATGACTGTGCTCTAGTTGCAAATACGTTACAGCAATTGCAAGAAATGTTGAACACATATACATGGGCATACGAGGCCTTGAGACTTAAGCTGAACATCGATAAAACTAAAATCATGTGCACTCCCCCGGAAGATCACAACAATGCTATAAAAATCGGAGATGAGCTGTTGGAATATGTAGCGGAATTCCATTACCTCGGCAGTTTGATTTCGGAAAAGGCCAATATCGACTCTGAAATTCAGCACAGGATTAGCAGCGCCTCAAGAGCATTCTGGAACTTAAAAGACAGGGTTTTCTACAATCATGACTTGAGCACAAAACGAAACTTGCAGTGTACCGAGCAATACTAATTCCCATCATGTTATATGGATGCGAAACCTGGGTGCTGTACGCCCGACACAAACGCATTAAACAAGTTGCAACAGAGACATCTTAGACAACTCTTAAGAATAAAATGGTTCCATCATGTCTCAAATGTATCGGTCCTTGAAAAAGCTAACTGCGAGAGCATTGAAGTCATGATTACAAAGTCCTGCTTAAGATGGGCTGGTCACATATGCAGAATGCAAGAAAACCGCATACCAAAATCTCTGCTTTACGGTGAGCTTGTAGACGGTAAAAGGAGGCCGGGTGGACAACTCAAAAGGTTCAAGGATATTTTTCACGAAAACTTAAAGGGAATTAACAAGCAGAATTAATGGGAAGAGGCAGCTCACAATAGAAATGAATGGAGAAGAATTGTAAAGTCAGTTAACAGCGACAACCAAAAAGTAAAGAGGCAACAAAGCAATGAGATTTTTGAATGTCTGGATTGCGGTAGACAGATAACATCACTTATCGGGCTTTTCAGTCACAGAAAAGCTCATGAAAGAAAACGCCTTGCGTGACCATCTTCTGATGCGTGTCAAATACTCGTCAGCGAGTAATGGCAGTATGTATGTATGTATATGAAGAAGACATTAAAAATTTTTCATAATTTTTACATTAAAACCATGTCTTATTTGCTTTTAATCCTCATCAACACACTTATGAAAAAGTGTTTATGATTTATGAATGTTTGTTGCGCAGTTACTCTAGCAGAGATAGTTTCAAGTCCAGAGGTTGTATCCGCTATAGCCACTTTAATTGAACATGGTAAAGATCAATAATTTCTGGACCTAAAACTATAATAGAAGGAAAAGAGTAGTTGCACTCTTCCAAATATTTCCTGCCAGTTAACAGTGGTAACAATAACTAAAAATATATTATTTTATTACGTGAGAAAGTAGTAGAATAGCAAGTGATGATTTTTCATTGTTCTTGCTTCTTTTCTCTTTTGAAATTTCTGTAATGTTTATTAGCAATGATTGAAGTTTAAATATGTTATTTTATTATTTAGTACAATGTGTTGTTCAATGTATTAGTTATATCCAATGAAAATCACCTAACCAATATATTATTACAAAACAAACACATTAATGTTAAAATTAAACTTGTTTTAAATTAAAAAAAAGTTGTAGAAAATCTTTGAAATAGATAATAATATAAAAATATGTCATTATATATTTTTCCGCATTTCTTCCCATCAGAAAATTTTGAGATACAGAAGAATTGTTACTTACACGAAATGTGAAAATATACTGTTTTCAAGCAAATTTTTACTCCTTAATCATTTTTTTATTTTATTTTATTGAGAACTCATTTTCCTAAACACATCTTTATGAAACTATGGCGAGTGCCACGACTATACTTTGTCTAGTTATAGACCACCACTATACAGCTACGTCAGTGGTCACGGGACGCGAGAACAAGGTCATATGAAGTGGCAGAAAAAGAACAAAGAATTTGACAATGTATGCTTTTTCAATGACAGTAACGTTACAAAAACAATAAACACTTTTTCATAAGTGTGTTGATGAGGACCAACAGCAAAGTCATGGTTTGTAAAAATGGTAGTGTTTTTTTCAAAAGCGAATATCTCCAAAAAAAGTAAAGCTATTGAGACGAATCGAAAAACAAACCATGCAAAAAAGATGTACTTAGATGATAAAATTATTTTCAAATTCCTTGCTTTGTTTACATATTCCACATGTTTCAAAGTTTCAGCAAAATATCAACATTTTGTTTTTCCATGTATAATTGACAGATGGGAACTTTAATTTTTAATTTAGAAAGAGATATTAAAAAGTGAAGTAATTTATCTTTAAATTGCTTAAAAATCATCAAAATCGGCATATAATAGAACAAAATTTTAAGGTGCCCGTTTTTCGTGCCCCTAAGTGATGATAAAAATGTCTAATTTCTAACGGTTTGGTAGGTTTTAATATGTCCAGTGATATTCATATGATTAGGAGTGCTTTACCTCACGTGAATTTCAACCCAAAGCATTTGGGATTTTTGGATTTGTGTACGTTATGGAAACATATAGAGAAATATCCAAAAGTGCGATTTCCATATGAAGGTAAGACGATTTTTTTTTCAATTTATGAGAAACATTTCTTTCTGTCTTTCAAAAATAATTGATTTTTTTGGTTTGGGTTGGAGCCCCATCTTTTTATATTTTGACGACGTTTCGTGCATTACGAAACCCCATCATCAATTAAACAAATAAAAAAATCGTCCGATTTAAATGAAATTTGGTATGTCAATAAATTGGATCAAGGCCAACTTGACCGTGTACGACATGTGTCATTGTGATAGTTAGTTTTGACGTAAGAAACGTCAAAAGTTGATGTCGTCCGATCGCGACCAAATTTGGTGGGTAGGCTATGTGAGCTACGGTGCACACGGTCCCACCCTGCAAAGTTAGATACGACGTTTCGTTTACATCTTCATCAGGGTGGGACTAAGGATTTGATATTGAAGAAAAATGTGGGTCAATTTCGGCATAATTGGGCACGGGCTACAGGATGACGCCATTGCCAGTGGATCGAGGTATACGGAAATATGGACATTGGCTTTTGTTTTAGAACTATTGGTCTCTCATTTCGATAATTTTGATAATTTTGAAAAGAAACGACCATTAAATATTTAGTTTTAGTCCCAAATTTGATTTTTCCAAGAACTCAAGATGGTGGATTATTTATAGTACTAAATACAGTGCCGGAAAATCTTTTGTGTGCATTTAAAAATAGAAATCTAATATAAATCAATAAATCATTTAAAAATAGAGATATATAATTTTAAATGTTTCAATGCTTTCAACGCCATAAAAAAGACCCCGTATATGATAATGTAAATTTTCCATTTAGGATTTATTTTGTTATCCTTGGAGTTTACAGAGAGAGAGAGAGAGAGGTATTGATTTGTAGAGCGCGTCAACAGCGAGGGTTTTTTAGCGCTCAATAATAAACTTTATTTAATATGAGGTTATTTTAAGTTAGAAATTAAAGTTTTTTCGTTATGTTGATGCTGCCTAAGAATTCCATTACTTTATTAATCTTCGAAATGTTAAAAGGCGCGAAAATATTCTCATAGGTAACAGCATTAAAGAATCTAGATCTATGGGAGGCAACAGGTAAGCATTCAAAAAGAATGTGTCTCATTGACATTAAGTTATTGCATAAGGTGCATTTCGGAGGGGGTTCGTTTCTGATAATATATGATTTGGTAAGATATGAGTGTCCTGTGAGGGTTCTAACAACTTTACAGGAAGATCCGCGTTTAAGAGAATATATATTTTGATACAGATGAAGAAGTGGTATATGTGATCTAAGTTTATTAGTTCCCTCGAGGATGTCCCATTCATTTTGAAGTATACTGAAGAACACTTTTTTGGTGGACTTCCTTCAATATTCGAGCGTTGCCTCGTTAGCCAGTTTGTCTGCTCGGTCGTTACCAGCAATGTTAGAGGGTCCAGGAATCCACGTAAAGTTAACATTGTAGTTTCTTTCAGTACGTTTATATACTAGATCTCGAATGCTGCAGGTTAGTGAGTTTTTGGGGTTTAAAGAAGCAATACTGTTGATGGAACTAAGTGAATCAGATAGTATTAATGCTTCAATCGGTGGCATGCTCCGAATTTGGAAAGAGCCTGATAAATAGCTGTGAGTTCGGCTGTTAAAATGCCAGAGAAATTAGGTAATTTGATTTTTTTATTAGCAATCGGGCTGTAAAAAGCACTGCCAACACCTCGGTCAGATTTCGAGCCATCTGTGTCCAAACCAAATATAGTCACGATATTTTTCGTCTAAAATTTGTATTAGACTAGTTTTGTAAAGATATCTGGATGTTTCAGATTTTTTTAATTTACGAAGTTCCATATTAACTGAAATAGGATCCTTCAATGGAGGGGGTTGGAGTTGGAGAAAAATATAGCAAAATATTAATAAAAATTCAGTTTTTTCACTCCAGTTTTTAACCACTTTGTGCATAGATTGTTTTTAATTAACGTTTTAGTAAAAGAGAAATAGAATGGTAACACTGCAGAGCGCTGGAAATAAAAATAGCATACTATATGCAAAGGAGGTGCAACTTAAAAATACTTAAAACTTTATCATAACTTTTATTGGGCGACCCTGTATACACTAAAATATTAGGAAATACACAGTTTTAAACCATGCAACATCACTATAAAAAAAAAATCTTTGTCAACAACGACGATATTCAACTTCTTCGTATTAATAGGCCACCCTGTATATTTTCAAAAGGGGCGCCTAGTGGCAGCAAATTTTTTATATTTCTTTTCAGGAACCTTTGACATCAACAACAGATATAAAAAAAGGTTATGCATATTTAAGCTTTTTTTTAAACTGAAGATTAAAGTTTAGTTTTGTATGATACACTATACAGGGGGAGTCTTAAATAAGTGCAAATATTTTTAGAGGTAGTGTATTTCGACCTCAGAAACACTATTATAATTTTTTTAGCAAAATTTTTTTTGAAAATTTGGAATTTTTTGAAAAAAATTTTGGGCTTCCCATGATATTGTTTAGTTTTTAATTATAAACCATAAAGCTTTATTCAGAACCTCGCAATTAGTGGAATAAATTAGTGGTTTCAATGAGCGTAGAAGATTGTTCAGTTAGGTTAGGTTAGTTTTAATTAGTCGAAAAAGTTAACAATCTTTTGACTTTTCCACTAATTATACTTCAAAATTTGCGAGGAATGTCATTTTGGTCTTTGATTATCATCTGTAAAGAAACATTTTGGTCAGAAACCAAAAGTTTATTGTTTTATAAGCTAAATATTATGCTTTCTCTATGGATACAACAGACTACCGCAAGCTGTTGCTAGGATATTTTATTAATTGTAATTGTGTATTTTAGACATTGATGAATGATCGTAAACTAAAAAGTATAAAATCTAATTGGAACAACTAATTTATTCCACTAATTGCGAGGTTCTGAATGAAGCTTAATTTATTCATAATATCGCAACATAAATAGCAGATTAAATTTACAAGAAGGAAAACCCAGAAATTCTCAAAATTTAAGTAACAATTTTTTTTAGAAATTAAGTAATATTAAATTAAGTATTTTTAGATTTTAAGTAATATAACTCGGTTATTTTGGACTTATTTGAAAAACAGTAACGAGAAAATATGTTTCTTTTATCGAGATCTACCAGCCCTGAAAATATTTGCACTTATTTAAGACTCACCCTGTATAATAAGAATATTTTCAAAATTATTTTTATTAAATACATGGTACTAAAGAACTGGATAAATCATATGTTCATAATTCATATAGAATAAAAATATGTTAAAAAATGCATTAAGTTTTAGCATAAGTATGAAATTATGCAGTTTAATTTGTACCTAAGTCAATTTAATACCGAAATTCGAATAAAATTATATTCTAGTAAAACATCCCTGCACTATTCAATAAGTTATCTAAAATAAAGTTAGGACTATTTTGAACAAATTTCAAGTTTATAAGACATATTTGTTCAAAAAAATGTTTCAAGTTAGAAATTCTGCATAATTGCTGTTTGTCCACCAAATTGCATTGAATCGATCCACTGTGCGACTTTTCCAACCTATGCCTCTAAATGGACGAAATCAGTATTTTTCCTAATTATGGCTCAATTGGAGCCAAACTTGGCACATGAATACAGGCACCCGAGTGGAGTTTTCAGGCAGTTATATTTAAAAGGACAGGAAGTATACAGGAAAATATTTAAACAGAATTGAAATCGTCTTAGGTACCTGAATGGAGTTCTCAGACGGACAGACTGACAGACGAAAGTAAGAAGTAAAAAGAAATTAAGAAGTTTCACTTCAAATATAGTGCACACACAATTTTTTTGAAACAAAAATATTTCACTTATACTTTCTACTTGTGCTGCCCATTGAAAATGCCTTATTTAAAAAAAGCGACCTCAAAAATATTCACACGGAGACTATAATATTTTTTTTAATGGTGACCAGGGAAGGGATCAAAAGTAGAAGATAAGAAGGTAGTTTAGTCTATTTATTCCCTCTGACAAAATGTTCTCCACAAAAATTTGGCAAAAAACAAAAATTCTGTCAAACGTCTATTTGTGTAGAAGTGTCTAGCCCTAGCAGTCAACTGTTAAGCTTGACCAATCAGGTTGGTTAGCGAGGTTATTTGGAGTGTGTTAATTCATTTGTGTTTGTCAAAAACTCTAACGTGATTGGTCGGGCTTAATAGTTGCCTGCATGATACAAAGAATACAAGGTATGATATTGCGCAGGTTGGTCACTACGTTACAGGTGATAAACGGTACCATTGGTCGACAAGCTCCGCGCGCCAATTTCAAATTGTCAAACAGATGACATAATAAATGTGAAAATAATTTTTCAAATGTCAAGCTCCATGATTTGACATAACTTTTGGGGTTATGTCCTAATTCTTCCCTATTTTAGGTCTTTTTTATTAGTGGCAATTGAACAATATGGATCAGAGAGAACACTAATAACTAAAGTGAGAGAGACCGATCAACGTTAATTTTTGAAGACTGTGTTAGTGGCGCGGCCTTTGGCGTCTAACCCGAACTATGAGCGCATTATCGATATAGTAGGTTGCATTCATACCTATATTCTGGCGCCAAAAATTTAAAATTTGTATATTTGAACCGAATCTTGATCTTTCAAGTTTATAATAAGAAATCTTCGTAGTTTTTTTAGATTATTTTGTTGACAACGAAAATTTATTATTAGACTTTAAAGCATTAAAACCTATAAATAAAATACTGTGTAGGAACATAATAATTTATTTAACTCCATACTCCTTGACATACTCCAACTCAAGGCTGCAATCTTCAGTATCTTTTTTTATCTAACTTGGTTGGGAGTGAACAGGGAAGCACGGTTGGGAGCTCGCACAGAGTATCAGTAGGTATCCCGTAGGTATTCAATGTTTTTGATAGTCTTTATTCTCTAAAAAGAACCTAGCAGTTGAAGAAAATAATTTGTATTACTGGAAATAATACCAGGTATAATACCTAGTCGTTTCATAGGTATCAGAAAAGAATGTGATGTTTTAAATTAAAAAAATT